TTTCTTCCTACTTGTTTTTATAAGTGAGCATCCCATGTGTTGTTCACGTCATTATTTCTCTCATGTTGAGTTATTTCTTTTGTCTGTCTCAGTGCCCCATTGAGTTATTTCTCTTGTCTGCCTCAGTGCCCCATTGAGTTATTTCTCTTGTCTGTCTCAGTGCCCCATTGAGTTATTTCTTTTGTCTGTCTCAGTGCCCCATTGAGTTATTTCTCTTGTCTGCCTCAGTGCCCCATTGAGTTATTTCTCTTGTCTGTCTCAGTGCCCCATTGAGTTATTTCTATCATCTGTCTCAGTGCCCCATTGAGTTATTTCTTGTCAGTTTCAATGCCCCATTGAGTTATTTCTTGTCAGTTTCAATGCCCCATTGTGTCTTGATGGTTGGCGGATGCTCTGGTGTGCTTTGCTCCTTCTTTCCTATAAAAAGAATCTATAAATAATCCTTATCTCTCCACCTCCTTTTTTTGTGTTTGTTATTCACTTCTAATACCTCGAAATCTTTGGCACTTGTGTGACCTAATTGTGTTGCAAGTGTGGTAAAATACTTACCAAAGGACACTGAGTAATTTTTTATTTTTAAAAAAAAATTATTTTGTCCCCTCCCCATTTCTATGATGTTGACGCCATCTGATAAGTAGAAAAATGTGCATATGATAGTGTCCAATGGTGTATTACGTACATAATTGTTATAACATGTAACTGTTACATGTAGATTTTCAAGATAATTATAGTTTGTGAAGGATCTGAGAGCAATGATGATTTCAGAAATGACGGTGGTGGTAAGTGATGATGTGGGATGGTGTTTATGCAAATAATTATGAAGAAGACATTTTTTTAAAATTGGAGTGATACTGAGTTCTATTTCTCTGGTCTGTTTCAGTGCCCCATCGAGTGGTTCCACTTTGCCTGCGTCCAGCTCAAGACCAAACCCAAAGGGAAGTGGTACTGCCCTCGGTGTCAGGAGGAGAGGAAGAAGAAATAGCACACCCCGTCTGCTCTCTGGTCATCGATATAATATCCACGTTCCGGAACGCTGCGTTCTGTATATAGACACTGTATATTTATCTGTACAGGCCTCGAGGACTGGCTCTTGCGGTGTAGCCATTAAGGTGGCTCACTGTCGTACCCAGAACACCCCGAGTTCAATTCCTGAGTGGGGGGAAATTTTTATCAAACAACTCAGTCTTTCTGCTGGTGTGTTGTGTATCCCTCTTGGCCCAGGTCGGCCCTGACAAACAGGGTACGAAGCCTACTTCCTAAATGAACTAAATGGTGTCGATCAAGGCGTAAAAGCATGTGTACATTAAAATTTTCAGTGCGTTTAAGGCTTGGGGGGGGGGGGGGGGGTTAATTGAAATGTTTGTGACTTGTGTGTGCCAGCACACCGAGGCTATAACAGCCAGGGATGTCAAATCTCAGGGTTTTTTTCATACACTTGCAAAGGAAAATGGAGAGGTAAGAGAGATGTTTTTGTGTGCACATTTAAAAACTTAACATGGTTCATTTTAGGTGATATGTTATGCTCCGCTCATTTTCAGGTGGGGTTTTTTTTTTTTTCAAAAATAATTTGACATCCAGGAACAACTCTAAGTCATTCCGGGTGCATGTTTGTCTGAGTGTGAGGGTCTCTATTTAAGGGTGAGGGGATGGGGGCGTTGTTTGCAATTTTACTCCATGGGTGTGTGCGTGTACTGTTGTAAGTGGTGTGGTACGTTAAGGCCTTTATGTCATGTTTATGTGAGAACTGTTTGAATGTACGCCCATCCCCCACAACTCTTACTCATGAAAAGTAACCAGACAGACTGAAGTGGATTGTTGCGACACCAACATATGCGGCAGTTGTTGTGATTTGGAACAATACGAGTGTGAAAGTTATTTGTTTCCGCGTAGGGCCACTTCTGTGGAAGTGATGTCTGGTACGTGCTGCAGGGTGTGAGAGCGACAGTTGAATCAGTATTACGTTGTGAAGAGAGGAACCTGTAAATTGGTTCCGTTGTTTTAAATGAGATTTTGGTGGTTTTATGGGCCATGGGATGGTCGTTGTATATGGGCAAGAGACAGATATTAATTGAATATATTGTTTGTGAGCTGTTCAAATGTACTGGGCCAAGAAAGCAAAATTGTTGAGGAGAGAGAACTGTTTCATTCTTTTAGCAAATGAACTGACATGATGGAAATTTTTTTAATTGCTCTTTTTAATGCATGTCTTTAAAATTTGAATTTCGACAAAATATTTCTCATGCAAATGCAATCAATGAAGGATTCAGGTTAAGAAACAGCAAAAGAAAATTCAAAATTTTGTGCCTAGTACACGGGAACAGCTTGCTGACGGTGTGGAATATTTTGTACAAAGTTGTATACAGTGTACAGAAAAAAGATGTTTTAACTCAACACAATGTGATCTTACCGTTTGTCTCAAAAGCGTACGCATCTATCATTGGTATTATTATGCTGTGTTATACTGTCACTCAGCCGTGTACCCTGAAGAAATAGATTTTGTAAAAAAAATTTTTGGGGCATTGTTCTGAAACCATTGCCGAGGTGTAGGAGGATGTGGGCCCTTTATAACAACCAGGAGTCAGAATGTTACTATAAACAGTATAACGTCTCTGTGGGCCAGCTTTGGTGTCTTCTCTCGTCTTCTTAATCAGAAGCTTATGTTTTTAAGAGGGGGGGGGGGGGTGTTGGTTTGCGTAATGAAAAATTTTCTAGAAACATGGTACGTGGTTCAAGGATAACAGCATTGACATTTAATTGCCTGGCTGGTGTCTGCTGTTGCTAATTGTGAGAAGGGCTTAGAACCTCTGGCAGTGTTTGTGGACAAAAAGGTGATTTTAGGCGAGATGTACGTTTTATCTATTTTTAGCTGTTGTATGTGTATATGGTTGGTGAACGTGAGATCGGAGCTGTAGTCCGGATGATTTTTTGAGGCATATATGTGTGTGTGCATGTTTGCACCTGTGTGTGTGTGTGAGTGCGCACTCGTTTGCGTCTGTGTGAGTGTGTGTCTTGGTACAATGGTCCCCGGCTAGAACAAGGCTGACTTGATATCGCTGTTACAGCCGAAGCCTATTATTATTATAATGCGATAATCAAGTTTATAATGTAATTGATGATTAACCTATGAGATCACTTTTATTTCATGGATTACCCACAACCAATTTGTCGGTTATTGCTGCTTTCTTCTCCAGCGAGAAATTATTTTTTCCTCATCTTCATCTTCGTTTTTCTAGCATCTTCCTATGGAAGATCTGTTTTACTGTAGATTTTTTTAAAGACATGGGATTTGGGGATTTTTTTCTGAGCCTGCTGGAATTGTGGAATCCTGTTCTAACTGACACTGTTATACTTATAAATATATAAGTGGGGCCCTCTGTAACTGAGAGACAGAAGAGTGATAAAACTGGCGACAGTTCACAGATCTTGTTGTGACTGCTAAATTTGTGTACTCATTTGTACCGCTTTTCTTTCCCTCAGTTGTTTCAGCCTGTCTGTCTGTCTGTCTGTTTTTACTTATTTCCATGCACTAAATAACCATTATTGTGTCGGTGTGCTTCTCTTAACTGCAGCTGAAAAAATTGTCAGGGGAAGAAATATGTTTTCTTTGTTGTATAAATTGAAGAAATACAGTATTTTGTTTTGCTTGTATGTCAAGTTGAGAGATTCCGCTGTCTAAGTCTGAACTGTCGAGGCCATGTCATCGAAACTATCGATGTCGAGACTATGCTGTCTAAACTATCAAGACCATGATGCTGTTTAAACTATTGGGACTATGCTGTCTTAATCCTGTCCGTACACCCAGGGGTCATTTTGTACCTCCGGGGTTGTATTTTTCACATTTTAGAATACTTCTAGTATGAGAATCTTTTGAAACTTTCAGTATTTCTAAAAATATCATTTTGACAGACTGCTACGCAGAGTGTACGGATCAGATTAACGAGTAAATTTCCTCTTTGGAAAGTGGTGGCGCAGAGTTCCCCACGTCATATGGATACGATAGTATAACATGCCCATTGGAGGTGAGGTTTGGTTGAGTTCCGTTTCTAGGGGCTTCAGTGCTCACTACTACTAGATCTCTGCCTCAGACTGGTTACCCGAAACGCAGCCTTGAGAAGAAAGGCATTTATTTTTTATTTTGATGAAGGTCATCATCGATTTTGTCAGTTTGCGTCACAATGGTAGCTTTTGCTTCACGGAGGAAAATCTGGGTAGCTTCCTATGACCGAACCGATCCTGGCACCGCTTAAAAACTGTCTTGGTGGTGGTTGGAGGGTGCTCTCGTGTGGTTTGCTCCTTCTTTTCTATCAGACACATCTGTCGTCCTTATCTCTCCTCCTTTTTTTTGTGTTTGCAATATATATAGGTAATCTTCTGCACTTATGTGACCTTATTGTGTTGCAAGTGCCGTAAAACTCTAACGGAAATGATGAAACTATCTTGTAATATTTCACAGATGTTTTGTGGGTTCTTTTTATAAACACGTGTACAGTGTTAATTAACTTCACTCATGATATTTGTTTTACGAGATCTATGGTGTATTTTACACAGAGTGGAGTTTGTTTAGCGTGCTTTTTGGATGTGATGGGACCTGTGTTCACTGTTTAGCTATGTCCATATTGTCAATAAAGAACATCTAACTAACTAACACAATTCATTTTTGTTTTTTTAAGTTCTGTGTTTGATTTTGACAACGTGTGTTGTTGGTGGGTGCTCTACTGTGGTTTGCTCCATTTTTCCTCTCAAACTCCAACATCTATTGTCCTTATCTCTCTTCCTTCATTCTTGTTTGTTTGTTTGTAACTCGCTTGTTACACACACTTGATCTCCTGCACTTATCTTCTTCTTCTTCTTCTTCTTCTTCTTCTTCTTCTTCTTCTTCTTCTTCTCGATCGCATCACACTTGAAGTCCGGTATCTGTC